GTGGGTTCCAAGGGAGGGGACTCCTCCACTTGAAGAAAATTAGAATCTAGTCAGAAGACTAGATCGTTTATCAGCCACCTGTGACCTTCACTAAGAGCGCTTTGGCAGAGGAAGTTCAACGTTCATCACTGTGACACTGAGGAAGGCAACATCACACATTACCAGAACAAACAACTTTTCATGAGATTTGGATTCCAATCTCACATGCAAAACACTGTAAGTGGGACAGGTGCATCCATAAGATGTGTGTGATTGCAGGACATGACCTTTCCCCCATCTTTTCTGTTGTATGACCTTTCTCCTACCCAGTGGAACATGGTCTTATGTAGAATGTGACCTTTTTCTCAAAGAGCTTATGGAGAATGTGACCTTTCCCCCATCTTTCCTGAGTAAGCAAAGGGCGTGATTACATGTGATGGGAAAATTTGGCACATGATTTTAGTTTCAGTCGAGGTTGCACCACAAAACCCACTACTAATGTAGTGGGAACATGAAGTGGTGACCTCACCTCCTGTGGGTTAATATATGCTCAATCGGGATTTTAAAAATTCAATTGAATAAAACGAATGATTTTTGGTCTTCATTTGAAGGAAGCAGGTGCATCATGTACATTTTGGCCTTTGTTTGATCTGTTCCATCATCTGGATGGAATGAAGCTTTTGAAGAATCAATTGAAGAAATTTCCAAATGAAAATTGAAGCAAACAAAAACTTCTTCACTTGAATTAAGTTAACAAAAAATAAAAAAATCCCTTGTGAGTGTGGCCTTCAACCAAGACCTCTCATTTGCTTCATTTGTTCTGTTTGGTTAATCTTCAGTTGAAGGAAATGAAGATTCTCTCTTTGCCAACTGAACAACCTTCCTATTCAAAATTTTCCCTTCCAGCTGAAGCAGCTGAAAGGGATTCAAATGGCTCATCTGTGCCTCCTTTCATTCCTTTCATTTGGCCAATTTATTCAAGTTGAACAAAACGAAGCAAACAGTGTTTCTCCCTTGTTTGCCTATGTAGCTGCTGTTTGGCAGCAGAGTGCAAGACAAAGAACTTGAAATAAGCTGCAAGATTGTTTGCTTCATTTGGCACATTTGGAGAGGCCTTCAACTGAATAAAATAAATATTACTTAAAGGAAATGAAGTTTCTTATGTTCAACTGAATGAGATGAAGGTAAAGGCTTTCAATTGGTCTTATTTGAATATTCAGTTGAAGAAAATGGGTTTTAATTGAAGGGATCAAAGATGGCTCCAATTCAAGTAACTTTTGTAGCTACAGCTTGTATTTCAACATCATGGGGAGGAACATGACATGGGCTTCACACAGGGAGAGGTAGTGGCACACCATAGCACTTGGCTGAGGATTGGCAGTTGATGTGTGCTGCATGACAGTGTCATGAGAAGGTTGCGAGCTTGGTGGAAGGGCGGTCTTTACCTTTTTTGGGAGGGCCCAGCCTCAGGAATGCATGCCGGAGATTCCTGACAGATTCTTAGAAGTTCAAGGGAGGGTGGTGGCCCTGCAACTTCACCGAACAAGCGTATATACAGGTGGTGACCTCGGTTACCTTATCTGGAGGTCACCAGGCTTAGCTGGTACCCCCACGTATCTTTATATACCATAACATCTGGAACTTCATCAGTACGTGACAGAGAACTTTTTCAAGCTCCAACATCACCTCAAAAAGGCAAGACACATGCTTTCATTGATGATCAAGGCACGTCCATTGAGCACCTCTCCACCTTGATTTCTATGAGTGGAAGCAAGTGCGCTCATGACAAGAACCTACCAGACACAGGCAGTTGGCTGTAAACTAAGCATAAGCTCACTCAGGTCCACTGAAGGAAACAGGTGTATAAGGTATAGTATGCTATTGAAACAAAATGGCTGTAGGGTACTTGTTCAAAGACAGATGTCAGTAAGTAAGTACAGAATGAGAGGGTGTTTCTTTGTGTACATCATTATTGTGAATGTGATGAACATTCTTCAAAGGCAACTCTTGGAAGTATCACCACACAATGAAAACAGTCAAAAATGGCAACTCCAAATCCAATTATGTCTTAGCATATTTGGTGAAGGATCCACCACAGCCAGCTGCATCACAAGAATCCGAAGCATCAAGAGTGGTGTAACTGGTTGCAAGCACTGAAGCAGGTCATGATCAGCATAAAGATAGTCAGAAGATTAGCATGAGAAGTAAGAGACATGCTGAGCCACTCGGCTTGGGTGGTGTGGGGAGTGTATGTGTTGATGTAGATGG